TTGAAATACGCGATAAGGTTTACTGAACAATGAATACACAATACAGCTTCTGATAGAAGCTTTGGCCTTGGAGGTATATTTATACCCAAAGCCAGCGACTCACCTAGCTATAAATAGCTAGAACATGAGTTTACTCCTTAACCGGTTTTAACCTCAACACAAATCACATAATTAGGCTTTTAGCTTTGCAAACAGTAGATTCATAATCTAATCCACATCCCAATTGACTTAAGTGGTGAAGATTTGAACATCTATCAATAAATGTCACTTATGACGTTATTTATTTTGCTTTTAAAGATTTCTTTACGAATCAATAATTACAATCAAACCGTTTGCGCTCTATGCTAAATTCACATTCATTTGCAATTGTAGAACATTTTTTGCTCTACAATTCTTAGTAAACTATATCTTTCATCATTTTGTAGCATTTTGAAATTGCTTTAGCTATCTTAATTTTTTGATCATTAATGTGATATAGATTTTGATCTAATATTTTCAAAATTCAAATTTTTTTAAAGAAAATGTAGGTGGTTTTTATTTTATGTGTTGTATCCAAATATCGATCCTTGTTGAATATTAAATAAATGACTTTTTGAGTTTAATATGTTGTTGTTGAAATTCAAATGTTGTCACAAAATGTAATATTTTGACATACTTGTTGTCTCCTTTGTTTGTTTTTGGCTATTCTCATATTTTATGTTTCAAAAGTATCCAAATATCGATCCTTGTTGAATATTAAATAAATGACTTTTTGAGTTTAATATGTTGTTGTTGAAATTCAAATGTTGTCACAAAATGTAATATTTTGACATACTTGTTGTCTCCTTTGTTTGTTTTTGGCTATTCTCATATTTTATGTTTCAAAAGTGAAAAATAATGTTGAATCATAATCAAAAAGAAAAATGAAAACAAAACAAAACTTGCTTTATAAAACTTTTTTTCTTCTTCCTTCAATACTTTGCTTCACTCTGTTTAAAAAATCACGCATTTAGTGCTTTATCATGAGATTGACTTGCCAAAACTCACTTGAAAATCAACCATTATTTTTTGATTAAATTTGCAATACCTTCAATATCTTAATATTTTGAAAGCAACAAAGGTTGTTTTGTTTTATCTCAAAATTTTATAATTTTGTAAAATTCTACTTTGTTTGAGTGACTTGTATTGAATATGATGTTGAACTAAATATCAGTCTATCACAATTTTTTTCTCATGATACTCATAAAGTTTATTAGTCAAACTTTGTGGTTTTGCAGCAACAAAGCTCAAACATAATAAATATGAGCAAAGCAATATGATATTTTAATATCAATTGTTGCACGTGTTTCACACACTACTTCAACCAATTGTAAAAAAATTTCACACGGGGAAAGTCAAACGCATTCATTCACATACATGTCAACACAAAAATGCACGTGCACATACAAATCACTCTAAATATACACGATTCACTCCTATCACCAACGCTCATGAAGTATATTATGATTTATTAAAAAAAAGTAAAATATATGTTTCAGATCTTTTTTCATTCTTTTATAAAGTGTTTGTTTAAGCAGCTTCACTAACTTAGATTTAACTAATGTGAGTAATCAAAATACATGAATTAAACTCAAAAAGAACAAATAATATGTTCAAATGATGATCATAAATTCTTTTAGCATGAGTACATATGAAAGAATACCTTAGGAACAATTATTTTTTCAAGTGTCGTTTCAAGCCACAAGATTTTAAAAAATTTTTAATTCTTAAATTTGCTTTGTCAAAGCTAGACTTACAGCGTGTAAAACTATAATATGAATTATTTATAAGCGGATTAAATTTGTAAAATTTTGACTCAAATAATATTTCATCATGTAATAGATGTGATGAATATTTTTACTAATAGTTAGTTGGATTATAGTGATCAAATATTAGGATTGATTGTTATGTATCTGTTAAAATTTATAAATTTTTTTTTATCAAATTTAGTTTAAAATTATATCCTAAAATGTAAAAAATAAAGTAAATTTCAATATATCACTTGTGAAAACAAAAGATTATTTTTTAAAATAGAAAATCTCAAATTGATTTCATTCAGCAATTTTATCACATGTGATGTTATTGAAAGTATAATTCAACATAGAAATATGTTTTGTTTATCTTTTTTTACATTATCTTCAAATGTAAACTTTACAAATGTTGTCAATTCTCTCACAAATGTTAAGATTGTAAAAGAAAATAATTCATGATTGATAAATTTTATTTTTTTTACAAGTGTCAAGTTTAAAATAATAAAAAAATAACTTTTTTCTTATTTTTCTTTGAGTTTTGATTGGATATAATTACAGTAGAACCTGTTTAGATTAATATTGTCTAATGTAATAACCTGTGATAACTAATATATACAGAGTTCCAAGTCGGGCCCGTGTATTTATTAATAAACCTCCAAAAATTAATAATTTATATTCACAGGCAGTCCCAAAACTTTTTTATATTAATAACCACTGCAGAGAAATGAAGTGGGTTGCGAGGGGCAGAGACCGTAGCTGAGGTGGATGGATACGAAGGACATGTGTCACATAACTCTTGACCTGACTGTCCCAACTCGGATTCTTTCTCGCGGCAGCCTTGCCAAGAATGACTGAATATCGAAATGCATTTGTTCAAGTACGAGCTCTCTCTCGTCTTCCCTTCCTTCCTCCATTCCTTTAAGAAACAATAACTTCAAGAATGCTTTGTGTTCTTGACACACATGTTTTTTTTCCTTTGGAGTGCAGCTTACGGGTTTGACGACAGCGCTATAACACTACTGAGCTCGACATAATTCAATCTCGAAACATGTCTCCTTGTTACATCGAGACATTAGCTTTCCATACAGAACCAATGACTCTAGTCAATGTGCAAATAACTGTCCCACCACAAATGATGCGAATAGAGAAACTCTCTTTATTAATAAACTGTCTAAATTAATATAGAATCGCAGGTCACTGCAGTATTAACTGAAACAGGTTCTACTGTATCAGGATTTTTTTCCACTTAAAATTTAAAAAATTTAAAACTAATTTATGTGAGAATTAAAATCATCTTATGAAAAAATGCCTTTAGTTCATTTCAAATATTTATTAATTTTATTTTCAATATCAATAACATGAATGTAATCAATAAATCTGAATCTTAAATATAAAAAAATATATTTTAAAAATAAATCAAAATCTTTTTTTAAATACAAAAATTTGATATTATGATTTTGATAATAATAATTTTCTTTTGATTCATATCAATTGTCTAAATAATTGATTAAAAAATTGATGATACCTATTAATAAATAGTCAAGCTCAAAATAGATACTAAATTATTATTTTTATAATAAAACTAAATACCAAGAAAATTAAAATATTTTCCCGATGGATTAAAAAAATTAGAGGGAATTTATATTTATGTAAAAGTGATGGATGTTTAATAATTTGAGAATTCCAATTTTTATAAAATTTATAATTTTTTTTTATCTAATTTATTTCCGTCTTTGGAAAATTTCACATTATATGCATATTTCAATAATAATACGAAACAAGAGTTGTGCACATTTAATGTTTATGATGCACGTTTTTGTGTTAAAAAAATTTTCAACTTGACATTATGAATGATTTAAAAATGTAAAATCTAAATGAGTAAAAATGCTCTCCAACGAGATGAGATAAGAATTGAAATTTTCTCTATGAGAAAGTTGGTAATTTAAGAAAAAGTATGATTTAAATAGTGGAAGTGAAGATCATGAAGATATGTTAACAATCACATAATATGTAAATGCAACCTCAATACGTTAAATTAGCATTACTTTGATTTTTAGTTTTTTGGCTTGCAAATAATTGCAACGTACTGCTTGGTTTGATGAGAAAGACATCTAATGGTTTTAACGAATTATAGAAGTTTAGAAGTTTTTTTAATTTGTAAAAAAAAAAGGTGAAAAGTCATGCATAATGATTTACAAGAGGAAATAGAATTTTATATCAAAAAGATTGGAAATAAAAACAAAAATTGCACGTGAGAGTTGGTACATCTGCATTGTAGTCAGAAGTTGTCATCGAGTCAGAAGTTGTCATGGCCCTCCCTAGATTCACAGCTGAGGCCTTGGAGTCTGGCAGCTACGAAACCAGTGGCATGGCCCCCCCTAACTTGTTTTAAAATTTTCGCCTGAAGCGCCCAATTAAGGCGCCCACCCCTGGCCTTAGATCCTGGCTCCGCCACTGACTGTATTCTCTTTTTATTCTCTTGTAATTAATTACAAAAATCATTTCTTGCTGCTACTGATTTGTTACGAGAATTACTCAAAAGCGATTGACATTGTAAGGAGAAAAATATATTCATGTCAATATCACCCAACTCAACTCAGTTAACGATAAGTTTAACTGAGTTGGGTCTTAATTCAGTTTTAAAATTCACTATAGTCAATACTGTCTTCTTGTTGATTACTCATGAGATACTAATGTATAAATAGATTGTAAATGATGTAAAGATAAAATACATGAGTGTATTACAGCTCGAGATAAACGTAAATGAATATTTCCTAAATTACAAATGACCAAACAAACTATATAGTTGAATTTCGAGTATTGAGTAAATTGCTATAGTCCTCATTTAGATTGTGCTTAAACCTTATTATATTCCTTGTAATCGGGCATATTACCCTATGAATATAACTAAATTTCCACATTCTTCAGTTCTGGATGTAAGAGAAGTTTAACATATATCCCGTGGCTTAAACCAGACTGGCGCTTGTGATTCTAGTTGTGGAAGCACACGTTTTGACTCGCATGATTGTATTCTTATTACAAATAATTGTGCTCCATTGTAACTAGATTGCATATTCGCGCTTGTAATTTTTGCTTGGTGATATCTTGGATGCACACGTTGGGTACGCATGATGTTACTTTATCACAAATAATTGTGCCTAAACTTGAACTAGTCCAAGATGTGCTGCTTGTACGGGGATAACACATAAAACAAGGGTAATGTGGACATTCAACAGGATGAACTTCTCTGTTCGTCCCTGGAGCCTCAAATGTGTTCTTAAACCCCAAACCCTAGAGCTGCTGTGTCAATTGGAGGTCGAACACTGAGGAGAAAAATCTGTGTGGTTCTTCATGTGGTCGAGGGGATTGTCAAGCCTATGTGCTCGCCACTCCCGCATTTGCTTATCGGCCACGGTGTTTCAACCGCTTGAATTGCCGTTGCTCTCCTCGTGGAGATTCTTGGAAGGTAACGCGATTGCGAGCAGGGTCGTCATGACGGGGACCTCACAGGTCGCAGCTTCGGTGGCCGATTTTTCCACTGCCGGGACTCTGAAGAGAAAGCAGGAGAAAAAGGTTGGCACACACAATGGCACTTTCCATTGCGATGAGGCCCTGGGATGTTTTATGATCCGCTTGACAGAGAAATTCGCTGGAGCAGAAATTGTTCGCACGAGAGATCAAAAGGTATGCATTCCCGCACACTCGTGTACTTAGTTTTGAGATGTTTTGTCCACCCATTTTCTGTCCACATAGGCATTCATCAGGAGCTAGTCAGGGCATCCCATGCTCAAATTTTGACTTGTGTAGGTCAATCAACCGCGGTTGTAGTGTCATTTTTGTGAGCGAGCCCAAGTCTCGCGTGAGATTCGTGTAGGTGGATTCATTGTTTTTTGGTTTTAGATTCACTGGTTTGGAAGGGATATTCCTGCGGCGTGAGCTGATGTGCTAAACTTATTCATTCACTGCGCAGATTCTTGATGCTCTTGATGCAGTGCTCGATGTTGGAGGCATTTACAATCCAGCCACAGATCGTTATGACCACCATCAGCGAGGATTTGACCAGGTTTTTGGCCATGGTTTCAGCACCAAGCTCAGTAGTGCTGGCCTCGTATACAAGGTTATTCCTCATCCCATTTCAATCTGCGTTGTCGATTTCCTCTGTTAGTAATTGGTCCCAGTGAAGTGAGCCTTCAGGTTTCTTCCTTTACGTGAGCAAGTTCTGTGCGTCTCGTACACTAACTGGTTATCATTTCTTTCCAACAGCATTTTGGAGAAGAGATTGTGGCCAAGGAGCTTGGGTTAGATAAAACCCACCCGGATGTGCAAAAAATTTATCTTGCAGTCTACAAAAGTTTCATGGAGGTAAAGAGTCCAATAACTGCATTTTTGGGTTTGCCTGGTTTCTTGAAGTTTGTTTCTTCTTGTTTCTCCCACCTTACACATAAATTATCTTGTGACTGTCTTTTCATCGAGCATGATGTGGTCAGACTGCTCAAATAGATTGTTGAATACTCGTACAATTCTAAATGCCTCACCTTCTACTCTCCCTCCAACATATGATAAGGAACTTTTGATTTGTTACGAGAGTCTTCCAGATTCACATGTTTTGTCGGTAATCTGTGTGAACGGTCCTCACGAGATATGACCATGAGCACAATGATACCGTTTCGCTTTTGCCGAAGCTTAAGTGTGCTTTGGCTCCGGTTTGAATGTTACTGTGAATCATCTGTATGGTCTATTATGACTTCTCTCGATCTAGTCTGTGTCGTAGTTCACTAGGTTGCAGCGACTACACGCTGAGCAATACGTATGATGATACGCATAGTTCATTTGAGCTTAATTGTGCGATGAAAATGATCACAGCATTGTCTTTCGCTCCTATCTGACGTTATTGCGAGTTGCACCTTTCAATGCCACCAGCGTTTTGCTGCCTTAAGTATCCTCTGCTTTATGATTTTTGACAAAAATAGTACATCTACCATTAGCGTTCTGCGGAAATGACTAAAGCATCGTGTCTTGCCCGTCTGATTCTGTGGGCTTAATTACTGACCACCGCTTAGATCACCGTCAGTATTCACCTCTGCGTAATGTTCTTGCAAGAACTAGCTTTCGCGAATGAGAAGTTAGATGACCGTCATCACTTTATAAAAGCTATCGTAAGAAGCGATCCTCTGGTGGATCTTATAAGATTTTCCCCTTGGTTCTTTCCTGTGCTTTAAGAAGAAACTCAAACAGAAAGTTCAGCATAGTTCATGTGGTGACTATGTATACTAAATTGTTGCACACCTGTCTGACGCATCTCAAGCATCAAATCTGTCGAAGTTTACAATGTGGCACTTTTCACATGCAAGGGAAAATATGTTGTTCTGCATTGGCTCCCGGGTGATGATGTGCATTTTATATCTGAGAACGTCAGTGCATTTTAAATTAAACGTGATATTTTTCAGTTTCTCCGGGACATAGTTTGATATGGAAAGCTCTAGTGCACTTTAGCGTTACATTCTCTATCCTATCAAAAAGGAACTACTGTATCTCCGCTAGACACTAGAACGATTACGATAAGGATAGTTCATCCAAGCATATTGTACCCTAAATACGAGAAGAATATTATCTTCCTGCTGTAGAACTAGATACTCCTCATGGAACTCATCGAAGTGTCCAATACTGTCATTTTTAATGACTTTCCGACCCTTCTGACTTTGAGTCTTACTTGCAATGAAGGCGATCGACGGCGTCGACAACGGTGTGAATCAATATGATACGGATTTGGTCCCCAAGTATGTCAATGACACTCATTTATCAGCAAGAGTGGGACGACTCAACCCTGACTGGATGGATGAGCAGACAGCGGAGAAAGAAGATGAAGCGTTTCACCGGGCTATGGATCTGACCGGAAAAGAGTTTATGGAGGTGATTTTCAATCCGATTTTTTTCCTAGTGCTATCTACCGGATTTCATTCCCCTGTAAATCTGAAAGTGGAAGGAACGAGGGTGGAACTACTTTGTTGTGTATAGCCCTCGCTATGTCTTCTTCTTATCCATCCACTATCTGTTTGAGGAAACCAGAAGGTCTCGACCTTACCAAAATGACTATAATTGAGGTGAACTGCAGCTTAAATTGTGACAGTCGCAAATTTTAACGAATCTCTTTTAAAATAATTCATGGTTTTTGATTGCGTTGAGTAACCACTAGTATGGGTACACTCTCGGGGTCTGATCTGTCATTCTAGAATTGCGTAGATGATTTGTAAGTGGGTGTAGATGCGAAGCTGATCGAGAGGAGAACGATTCCCGAGTTTCGTTTTCCTGTGATGGATCAGTCTACTGAAACCAAAACGATACTTATTGTGTTTCCATGTGGGTTTTAATAGTGATCCTTTTAAGTTTGTCACACCGCTTTTGAAAGATGTCTTTTCTGACATATTTGAGATACTGAAGATTGAAACTTCTGTTGTCCTGCTGTTGCAGTCTCTTAGCTATTATGCCAAGTCATGGCTACCGGCGAGATCTATTGTGGCCGAAAGTCTAGCAGCCAGAATGGAAGCACATGAAAGCGGGGAAATCATGATATTGAAGCAGTTTTGTCCGGTATAGTCTCAGCATATCGCTACTCGTGCATGTTGGCCGAACATGTTTGAAGCCGCTTGCAGTTTTTTAATGAATATCATAATTGGGTGGATATCAGAGCTGGGAATGAATGGGCTAACGACAACCAGCACTTCACTTTCTAGGAGAATTGGTCCACGTAGTGATAAGGGAGACAACGCTGAATTTTTCTTGCAATATTATCTTTAACCGTCCACCTTGAAGGTGTGCCACCTTATGCACAGCTTAAACAAATGCTTTGTCGTGTCTTTTGTTTGCAGTGGAAGCAGCACTTATTCGAGATTGAGTCAGAACAGGGTTTGAATCCGACAATCAAATATGTTGTTTATGAGGTATTTCTGTTGGACCTGTTTAAAAAATCAAACGTATGAGTGTCTTAACTGTATTGAAAGTCTTACTTATTTGCAAAGCACTATTAATGGAGGAATTAAAAGCCGTGTAGTATGGAAAACCCGGCGTGAAAGCGCTCCTGTCTGAGCTTCATATCGAAATCCTCTGTTAAAAGTTTTGCCTTCATATCGAAATTCCTTTAAGACTTCTGTGTTGGTGCCTGTCCAGGATGAACGTAGCGGCCAGTGGCGTGTCCAAGCTGTAGCTGTTGCGCCCGGAAAGTTCGAGAGCCGGAAGCCCCTGCCAGTCCAATGGCGAGGTCTTCGTGATGATGAGCTTTCCAAGGAGTGTGGAATTGACGGCTGTGTATTTGTACACATGAGTGGATTTATTGGTGGTGCCAAATCATTCAGTGGGACTCTAGAGATGGCAAGAAAAGCCCTTAGTTTCTAATGGAGAGTGTCTAGATCACGTACAATATACGTAGGAAAAACACGCAATTTTACAATTAGATTCATATTGGATATAGATCTGTCGGACGAATTCAGCTATCACAGCAGCGTCGTGACACACCCAATTTGTGGATCAGCACGACAGAGGACGAAGAGATCTAGCGGATGAATGCAACCGTCACTGGTGTATCATGTTTCGGGTAGTGGAGTAGTCACTTTTTGTGAAATATCGTAAAGTTATAGATGTATAGAGGAGATAATTAGGCACAAAGAGCAGCGTGGAGGCGCCAGCGTGCAAACGAATGTAAGGTGGCTCCTATTCTATTTGGTATGACGAAGGACATTGGAAATTTTCCAAGGCCTTCAGGAATTAACTTCTAAAAGGTGAAACCTGAAATAAGGTTTCTAGTCAACTCAAACCTTCTTGGTTTAAATAGAAAAGTGAGCCTCTGTGGGTATGTCCAATGGATCAAAGCGGACGTGCAGTGGGAATAAGAGTTGATGCCTCAAGTAAGTTTTTTAATATTGTTTAGTGAATCAATACTTGTGTACTGTTTGTAAATACTGAATTACTTAGAATAAGTCATATTGTTAAAGTTACATTAAAACTATACATACATACTTTTGTGCCTGAGTAATTGTCCAATTTCAGTATATGGACGAAAAGCATCAGAGAGCTAAATTCAATATCACCTATATACATTAGCTAAAATTGTCCAAAGAAGAAGAGAATTCAATTCTAACATCAATATAGATAAATTAGATAATGTTCGTTTCCAGTCCGTAAAGTATTAGTTTCTACGTCGATTTTATTCCTTCTTATTTATTCGACTTTAATTGAAACTTCTGGTATAATTATCAACTAAGAACTTTACTATTAATTTGAAATGATTTCAGTAAATTGATAAGAAAGTATGCAATATGATATTAAATTATTTACTATAATTCATTCATTTTAGAAAGTTGATATAATTATCACTTTAGAAAAATGATAGAATAGCATGACTACAATCATTACGTTGTAATATTTGACTCAAAATCAAAGGTAATGATTTCATTTCTTTATGCTACTAATATCATGATATGCATGGTTCAAATTATACAAAAATGACTATGTGTGCATGTCGAAAATCTTTTGTTGATATTGTGACTAAAGATAGTTGTGTAGATTGAATCATAATTGAGTTGAATTCAGTTTATTGAATATAATTTATAGATTGAAGTTTTTTGAAAAAGTTATTTCCATACTCAAGATCTTACAAGGTTCATCTACAAAAAGGTCTAGAGATTTATAATCAAACTATGCTTTTTTAATCAACTTAAAATGCATAATATGATTCATATCGTTTTATACCATATATGTATTGATCTAAAATCAAAAAAAGTGTGAAAAATATTGAATTCCACAATAAGAAACAATTCTAATAACAAATTTCTTGGTTACACTTGTAATTAGATATCAATTATAGATTGCTGTTTATATATATATATATATATATATGATAGGATATGATTAAATTGATTAGTTTTGATCATAGATTCAATTGAGTGTATTACAGTGTTTGAACTCAGTGCATCATCTTACTGCATACATTCTCCCATTTATGCGCTCTAGCTCCTTTTCAAATTTTGGCAATCGAATTAGGATAAGGGCAAAAAATTTATTTTTTTGCTTTGCATGTTTTCAGCACTCCCTCGGCAGGGTCCAAGGGGACTTTGTTTTGTCGCACACCACAATAGTAAAATACTGTCCGACAAAACAAAGGGCTAAGGCCTTTCGGGCCGAAAGTCGACCCGATCGCAGCCTCTAAGCTCTCTGCCTTTTTTTCACAAGAAAGTGCAATCCTCCGCTTTGGACTTGTCTTGCATTGTCATCAGAGATCACAAATACAATAGAACTGAATTGGATTTAATAACATTTATCATTCCAGATTCTTCCTCAATGCTTCCATGATTAAGCGGTGGAAGATAGTGGATAACAGCATAGACAACATCAGTGGCACATCTAACGTTGGTCTATCTTTGCACACAGTAGAATGACTGACTTTCCTTTTTCGTACACAGCACAGGGCACTACAACGTTGTAAAGAGTTCAGAAGTAGGAATGGCTCCGAGCCTCCGGGGGACAAGAGCTTCCGCTGGCCTCGGTTAGTTCATCCCGCTTGGCTTCGAAAAGCTGAGCGTGTCTCTGAGGTTAGAGATAAGCCAAAACGGGGTCAAGTTGGAGCGAGGAGGTCGAAAGTGTCAGTTTCCGAGTCGTGGATCGTGATCTGCCAAAGAAAGTGGGTTCCATCGCCAGCTGCGCCATGGCTAACCTTGCGGCGGCGTCGAGTCTGCAGCCAGTGTTGCACGACAAATATGGCGCTAGAGTATCGGAAGGAGGCGAGTGAAGTCATCACAGCAAGTGGAGGGAGCGCTGCCGTGCCCATGGTGGGGCCCAGCGGATCTCCGTTCCAACGATCTCCTGCCGCTGCTAAACGGATGTTGAGCCTTCCGTGTCTCCGGCGATATCGGACGGCTCTGCTCACTGTCAGACATGGCGATATTCATCGGTTCCCTCCCGGATTCCACATAAAGACGCTCTTTTAGTTGGATTGCAAATATGGTATCAGAGTGCCAGCAGAACTCTTTGACTCCCTTTTCGGAGACCATGTTCCACATCCTTCCAATCTTCCCGGGATCGTCTTCGAGAATATCGAATGCGAGTATGTGCTATTGGGATTACCGCTCGCTCGGTGCCAGTTGAATGCACCGAAGATCGGGACGCGAAGCAATACGCTTCGTGGAGGGTGGTTATTTGCTCTCTGGGCTGCGCGGCACGGAAGCCGAAATTTTTATGGAAAACTTACTCGGAAAATTGGCGTCCACGGCATTGATGGGATGGGCGGATCTGCACTTAGTGTATACTTTCTTGGATTTCTTGGCGTTGTTGTGCATTCTTGGACCTCCGACTATCTAGTCCGAGAACCAAGAGTGCACAACAACGACGACTGACGTCTCACTTTTGGCCCCCTGGCGATGTTCCGATATTCTGAGGGTTTTTGCATTCAGTGTCACGAAGATTGACACACTGCTTCCATCTCCAACGCAGCTTCCTCTTGCTGTAGTCAGTTGGTGGAAGCGGGTTTTGTAGATGGCTCTACCATTCTTGGAGAGCCTGCGTCCACGCAGCGTTTTGGCTGCGTTATTCTTTCTTTCTTGCGTTCTTTTCGTCAATATGCAGCTTCTTGAGTTAATGAACATCTGGTGCAAGCTTCTGCCTACCCTGTTGACATCTTGCTGCACATCCTTCTGAATCTTGTTGGCCTCTAGCCGTATTTCTTCTCACGCAAGCATGTTCGCTCTGGGTTTCACTATTATGGCGGTGAAAGTTGTCGAGCGTAGGGAATCTGAGGTGAAGGGAGGTCTCCCCACATTGATAAGTGAGCGCCGTCTTTCTAAAACCATGTAGCCTTTTTCCCTTGTTCCATCCCCTTCATCTCGAGCCAATGTCCAATAGCGGGTCTTATGGCGTTTCTACCTTGGTGCGAATGACTTCGAAGTGTTCGATGTTCATGATGGTAAATTATTCTCAAAACATCCCCTGTTTTATCCTTTGATACCATCTTTGTCCGGCTGCACTCTCGTTTCTTGATTAAATGAAGAACGAAATGAGGCATCACTCACTTTCATTTTTAATCCTCGTGGATAACCTTTCTACTGCAGACTGACTCGCAATGCTATTTACATCCTGTGAGCACGGGCATTGACTCTTGGTATGTAAATAGCACACCATGATGTTCATGATGAAGTCTTTGCGTTACTTGTAGGATATCCTTGCCATGTCTACATCGTCCCATACCTTCATACCATCCTGTTCTTTGCACACTTCCTTACCGAGCCTTGAGCACATGTACTTTTAAGCCTTGGGAGTAAATCATGACTGGGAAACAAGTAATAATTATATTCCAGTAGGTGCTCAAGTAAATTTCCCCCTGGGGCTCCGACCGGAAGAGGAAACAGAGAGGGTAAAGACGATGGAACCCATGCTCAAGGCCAGACAGAAGGCAATGACGCAACCTTCTGGAAGATGCAGCAAGAGTGGACTAATAACCTCAACTCCATGTGCTGCCCCAGACGTGCCCGGCCTTCCGCAGGGATCAGTGACAGTCAGTCAGTCAGGCCGCCAACAAACATTCAATCTCTCCCACACTGCGGACCAGCCTTCGAGAGTCGAGCAGCAGTAAAATAGTCCGGAGGCAACGATCGCATTCATTCACCTTCTATTCTATGGAAGACAGCAGTACTGCACCGTCGTGTTACTCGTGTACATGTCAAAATAGTTCTGCTGGCTCTGAGCGTCTGACGCTCGTCCGACGAGACGAACTTTCTAAAGCGGGACACCAGCGAGGGCCGCGGGAGGATAGCGGGAGTGCGTTTGGGTTCGAAAAGCAGCCGCTAAACTCTGTGCGTCGAGCCTCTCGCACATTATTTTAGCAGGATAAGAGCTCTGTCGAGCCCGGCTGCGGCGAGGCAGTTAAAGCAGGGTGTAGGAGCAGAGGCATGTCCTGCCCCGTAGAGGAGCGGTCCAGGACAATACCGTTAGCAGCTATTTACCTTGTTGATAAAGATGGGCGGAGACGCGCCACCCTCGCTCCGACCTGGGCGGACTCGGAGTCTACATGATCGTTCGTTCAGATCAGCCGGGCCTGCGGCAGAGCGTGAGAGGTGGATTCCATCGCCGGGGAGCGCCACGGGAGAGGTCGTCGATGCGGGACGAGGCGCTGTCGAGGATGAATGTCGACGACGGATAGCTGTGCGGGACCTGACGGGCTGAAGCACGAGGAGGTCCGCTCGTGCGTCGGGGATATCGATGGGGCCGTCCCCATGTCGTCGACGAGTCAGCGCCATGGTGCTGGGCGCGATTTACCTGCTCGTCATCTGCCTGTGCTGCGCAGTCTCGCGTGCGCAAGAGGACTCCGGGAACGCCGGGAACCAGCAAGAGTCGGATGTTAACAGGGATCTGCAGGCGCTGCTCCGGGTGAAGGAGAGTCTGGTGGACACTTCGGGCGTGCTCGGTTCCTGGGACCCCTCGTCCAGCACCCCGTGCAACTGGACCGGCGTAATTTGTAGAGCTCGGGATTTCGACTCGACGCAACCCGTGGTGGTTTCTCTCGTTCTTAGAAACTGCAATCTCTCCGGCACCATATCTCCGGGCGTGGGCCAGCTGACCCACCTCGAGACTTTGCACCTGGGGAACAACTTCCTCACGGGCCCAATACCTCCCGACCTCGGCAACTTGTCGGCTCTTCGACTTCTGGACGTGAGCTACAACTCACTGACGGGGAGCATTCCGTCAACGCTCGGCCGCCTGGGGCGCTTGGAGGAGGCTATCTTCGACGAGAATGATTTGACGGGCGCCATCCCCTCAAGTGTGGAAAATCTCGTCAGCTGTGCGTACTTCAGCGTGCAAGGCAACCGTGGCATTGGAGGGCTAGTTCCAGCAGGCTTGAAGATCGTGAGGGAGCTTAACCTACAGAATACTCAGCTCCGCGGGCCCCTTGCAGAGGATTTTTATGACATCAATCTGGTCACTTTCCTGAACCTTAACAACTTGGACTTTTCTGGATCCAAGGAGCCTGATTTGAGGAGGCTGCCTAATCTGAGAGGGCTGTACATGAGGAACACCAGTCTCACCAAGGGCCCAATTCCTTCTGGCTTGGCCAGTGCTTCGAGCCTTGAGGAGCTCGATCTGTCACAAAATAGTTTCGTGGACGAGATCCCGCAGTGGATAGCAAATCTGCCCAACCTAAAGGTTCTCCTGCTTTCCAGCAATGCGCTCTCCGGGCCCATGCCCGAGCTGCTGGGACAAAACAGCGAGCTCTCGGTGCTGGATGTGTCTCAAAACAGTCTGAACGGCACGGTGCCCCAAGGTTTATGCAATGGCGGAAGTCTGGAGACCTTGAATTTGAGTGGGAACAGATTGGAAGGCTATTTCCCCCCACGTCTGGAAAATTGCACCAGTCTCATCCGCGTGAGCCTCGGTCGGAATTTGCTGTCGGGAAGTTTGCCTGCTGGGCTCGGTCGGAGTGCGTCGAACCTGTCGACGTTGGACTTGGCTCGCAACGCTTTCGGGGGAAGCATCCCGGGGGAATTCGGAATGCTCCAAAAACTGCTTGTGCTGGACCTCTCGGACAATCGACTGTCGGGAACGATACCTCCTCAATTGGGAAACCTTCTTCGGCTACAGACGCTCGACCTTTCGTCCAACATGTTGAAGGGCTCGCTGCCTCCGGAGCTGGCCAACTGCAAGTCGTTGGAGACGCTGCTTCTGCAAGGCAATCTCCTCGACGGCCCGGCCCCAGTGAAGACCTTGAGCGGTTTGGTGCAGCTGGAGAGGCTGAATCTCGCCGAGAACCGGATGCAAGGGAGGGTGGAACCAGGAATCGAGAGCCTGACACTTCTGAAGAGTCTCAATTTCAGCCGCAACTCACTGAATGGCAGCATCCCCTCGGACTGGGGCAGTGTACAATATTTGGAAACGCTGGACCTGTCGAGGAACCAATTCTCGGGAGGAATTCCTGACTCCTTCAGCGGCCTGCTGTTCCTGCAAGCCATCGACCTCTCATTCAACCAGCTGGGCGGAACGATACCCTCCTCGCTGCTGAACCTCGAGTCACTCCGGAGCTTGAATCTGTCCTACAACATGTTATCCGGGACCGTGCCCGAGGGCCGCCAGGAGTGGCCGACGAGCTCCTTCATAGGAAACGAGAAGCTGTGCGTGATCGATTGCCTCGCGGCAGCATCGGCCACTCCGGCCCCACTGGCCAACGCGGGCCGGGGCGAGGGAGGGGGCGGGCTCAGCAAGGGCGCCGTGGCCGGAGCGGTGGTCGGGAGCATCGCCGGCGCAGCGCTGCTCGCGGGGCTGATCATAGCGCTGTGCATGCATTGCTGCACGGCGCAGACGGCCCTGCTCGGGCGAGCGCAGTCCATCCGCAGGAAGACGCCCGCCGTGAAGCCGTTCCTGCTGCCGGAGATCTTCAAGGGCTTCTCGTACCCGGACATCATGGAGGCCACGAGAAATCTGAGCGAGGACAACGTCATCGGCCGAGGCGGCTACGGCACCGTGTACCGAGGCGACTTCCCGGCCGGCATGACGTGCGCCGTGAAGCAGATGGTGCTGGAGCAGGAGTCGTCCCGCAGCAGCTTTCAGAACCACCTGCGCGAGGTCGAGATCGCCGGCCAGACGCGCCACAAGAACATCGTCAGCCTCGTCGGCTTCTGTCAGAAGGGCGACGAGACGCTCATCGTCTACGAGTACATGCCCAACGGGAGCCTGGGCGACGCCTTGCACCGACGAGGTCTGCTCTTTCTCTTTCTGGCATGGCATGGCATGGCGGGCAGTATTGCCCATCAGAACCTCTGTTCTTCTCGCAAGGAACTTCGAATCGCACGCTGAAATTGAGCTGAATTGTGATGTTTCTGCAGGACGTAGAGGGACGTACGATCAAGGGGCGACGATTGCCACGGGTGAGTGGTAAAGCTGCGATTCACGTTCCATCACTGTATGTTATCGGGCGTTTCGAATTGCGCATGAATTGCATTGCATAGACTTCTCGGAAGCCGACGAAGCGTGTGTGTGTGTGTTGGTTGGTGCGCGCGCGCAGGGAAAGGCGACAAGCTCAACTGGAGAACGCGGTTCAACATCCTCTGCGGTGCGGCTGGAGGGCTGGAGTACATGCACAACGAATGCCGGCCGCAGGTGCTCCATCGCGACATCAAGAGCAACAACATTCTGCTGGACGCCGACATGGACGCTCGCATCACCGATTTCGGGATGGCCAAAATGGTTGAAAATGCCGGCGTCTCCATTCCCAACATGGCCCTCGTCACGGGCTCTGCCGGCTACCTCGCTCCCGGTACCTGCTCTCTCCTCTTCTTCCTGTCTTCTGAATTATCGGTCCTCTCCGTTGGGGACGATGGATTCCCTCGGTCATGATGAATGACAACAGGACGTTTTGAATCTGATCTTTCTACGAGTGTCTCCTGTTCCCACTGTGCATGTCCCTGACATCGTTGTCGTCATGTGTGCTGTGATGGTGTGCCTGAAGAATATTACCGGAATATGAGGATCACGGACAAGAGCGACGTGTACAGCTTTGGGGTCGTAATATTGGAGACATTAACAGGAATGTATCCCACGGAAAATGCTACGGTTTCAGATGATTTTAGTCTAGTGGAGTACGTGATCACCACTCTTCGTCAGGAAGGCGTTTTAGAGGCGATTCTGGACACCGCTTTGCAAGAGGAAGTGATCGAGTCGCAGGATGTGGAAGAGCAGATGACGTTGGTCTTGCAAATCGGGCTCCTGAGCACTGTGGAAGATCCGCCACAGCGTCCGTCCATGAGAGAGGTGGTAGAAATGTTGGATTACTCCAAGGGTGAGCACGGCAAAGTCCGTGTGCCGGACTTGGGTGATCTCTTGCAGGATTTGGCGGCATCACCGGCCATGTCACCCAGTCATTCGTAGCATCTGGCAAAGGTTGCCGCACCAGTGTACAGTGTACATTAAGAAGGTTGGACATTCCTGAATTCTGCTCGAGCGATGGGTAGATCGACGGGCGCGCATCCCAAAATCGTGCCGACAGAATACCTTTTTTCGTCGTCTCCGAAACATGTCTACACACTTCGTGCTACTGGATTCTGTAGAACGGTCACTAACCCGGACAACGCTTTGAAATCCTATTCTTTATTACCTCTGGTCTTGGCCAGGGCCAGAAAGAGAGTCAATATTTTCATACATTGACTAGTTACGTATCATTCTTTTGGAAAGAGGCATCAAGTGTATCGAATGGGACCTGATACGACCCTTTTTCCAGTGCTGTACCGTACCATACATCACTTTGGTCAGCACAAAGTACGAGTTTTGTTATCGTAGACTCACATGAAAAATTGGTCAGATACTACTCCGCTACGAATGGATCTGAGAAACAAATTCCCCTGTTTTTTTGTACAGCTTGCCATTGCAATCATTTGAACGATTCAATCGAGGAAGGGTTTTAAGGAAATGAATGTTTTGGTTTTATTATCACCGCTGGACGTCATGGGCATCATGTCACTACTGGCACGGTACGCTCTTAACCCTTGCAGAGAGAGCTCGCGTACAGAGCTTGGGGGATTCTTTTACATGTCAGAAAGTTAAGCGTAGAGGTCTACGTCCATCGGTATTTTCTGAGTCCTTTCTGGTAACACCAGTGCCTTTACTCGAGTGCTCTCTCTTAGTCACAAGTTCTCCAGGAATCTTCTGGCATTTCAAATTCCCAATGTGAATTGCAGTCTGAAATGTAGGTCCAAATGCCGGATCCCGTCTCCAAGCTTACATCTACCATCCCAAATACCGTCCGTCGATTCGTTAGTTCTTCAGACGACTCTCGTCCGAAGAGCACGGCTTGCACGGCTTGCAGAGGGAAGCTCACGTACGTCCGTGCGATCGCCCGCGAGGAAGTTTCGTCGATGTACAGGAGGCTCGCCTCCTGTACATTGAGGAGCTTCGCCAGCTGCGCGCAGCGCAGCCAGGCCGAACGATGATTTTGCTTTGCGCAAGGAGTCAGTAACATGGGATTGTTCCATTAACCCTTGGGAAAGCATCTGAATTACCCTTTCATGTCTAGAACGTCGAGATGTCCAAGGGAGTTTCGTCCTGTCAGTGCAACTGACAGGAGCACTTTCCTCTCAAATTGAGTTTCGTCCTCAGCTGGAGAAGAAAAGGCTCGAAGTGGACATGTCTACCATCTAGCGCCAGCTAGCTTCCTCCACACTGGCTCTGGTGTGAACAAAACTTTCGTGCACTGCAGACCCCAGTATGTCCTCGATGCATATTCTCTGAATCGATTGAATGATTGCACCTATTGAGCCCAAGCGTGATGATTGCCGCTACTGTCACGTTGGCGAGACGGACGCAGGCCAGCAGGCGCAAGCCACTGGGACCTGAGGTGGTGTGAGAATCCCATGTGACGGGATTCCACTCGAATCAGATGCACCTCAGCCTTGTCCATAGCGTAGCCAAATCTGGGTCGAAGTCGCTTTGGGATCATCCAGGGTGCATGCGAACGTATCTGAATGACGACCTGGGGATTGTTGATGACTGACCCCACGAGGAGGATGACGCCATGTGCCTTGGGGCCCACGGACCCTCACCACCAAGTTGGGCCGTACTGCTGCAAAGGGATAGACATGCTGAGTGTGAGATCCTCAACTTTCTCGCGTGGAAGTGGCGGCGGCAGTCCTCTCCGAATACGATCCCAAGTGCTGCTGCACTTCCCTCGTAGATATGCCGAAGCTGAAGCTTTCCTGACCTCCTCCAAGAGGGCCGGCACGTGCTCAGACTCACCCTTGCTTCTCTGCCCTTTTCGTAGAAATCTGAGACTCGACTCCACCATCTTTTCGCTCGAAAGCTGCTACGGGTGACCTTACGGGGAGTCCCGTTGCTGCATCCAACTTGTTCGAGCCTTTTTGCTTTGCCCTTCGAAAGCCAAAGCCCGACCTGAACGAAAGAGGAAAGCTGCTAACCCCATACGCAAAGTACAGCACCCGAGAGTCTCCTCGACTACGACAAAGCCTTTCCCCTAAGGCAAGCTGTGACTGACGGTTTACACTTAGCACAATGAGAACATTTGTTACTCAAGGGAAGTTGATCCCGGGACTGTCAGCACATATGTAGAGCCTGCAAGCGTAGTCTAACCCAAGCCTCGACTTTTGCTTCACCCACCTACACGACGTACATCTACTTTTACGTGCTCGTCACTCGCTTGCCAAGTGAGATGGTGGTGATCCATCCTGTCCTGGTCTTCACAGCTGGACCTCGAAGTTGTCATGTCTTTCAGACGAAGGCCCCAACTGCAGAGGTTAAGCGTCAGTGGACTGTGTATTGAGTACGATGCTCCGAATCACGTGCACATATCCAACAGAAGAAGGACGATTAGATGTTGGAGAAATTTTTATGGGTCCTTCCTACAGTGCCCAGGTCCCAAACAGATTGATTCATGAGAGCGGACCACATTCTGAATACCTCTTCTTTGGGCCGACTTTCGTCTCTGTTCGATGAGGAAGTCCCAGTCATGCAGGCTTATACCATTTTGCTCTAAAGCTTTAAGAATTCTAGTTTCTTCAGCTGGAGATACAAGAGCTCTTTGTAACGCAGACGGACGTTGTAATCGTGAGATACTTACACGAACTCAGTATGTACGAGTGTTACATTGTGGAATACTCGGATTAATGTGCGCCATTTACGAAGCAGTGCAAGCCCCAATTCCGTCAATCATCCACAGTAACAACGCAAGGTGCATACTCCACGCCTTCATGTGAGAAACTATCCACAAATGTTTCTAGCTGTGGTCAGAGGCTAGTCCAGATTCTGTGTCCTCTGTGCCGCTGGGGCATATTCCTGCCATATGTTAGCATTCAGCTGACGTTTACAAAAAGCAGCGAATCATTCGGAAACTCTCGGAGAGAAAAGTGGAAAGAGAGAGGTATCGACTATCCATTATGTTAATGATAGGCGAAGCGTTGCTCAGTGCAATACAGATAATATGAAAACTAATCAGCACCATATTATACAAGAATTAAATGATAAATGTAAGTGTTTTGTCTCGGCTGGATCTTTCTCGTCCAGAACAAGAATCTCCTAAAAGAATCATCCACAACCTTTAAATACTCCATACAGCTCTCTACATTCTCATGGAAGAAGAAAGCAGCCACCTCACACATTGGAAATGTTACAGACTGCTTCGTTCCAACCATCCCTACTCAAGGAGCCGCACTACTATGAACTAGCTGTTCAGTAAAGAAGAGATCTATCTGCAAAATCTGCTACAACCACTGACCTCTGGAAGGCATTCTAAACCTCCACCTGCCTCAGCATGCAACCGTTCTCAACTACGCATGTTCTATATCATCCTCGACCCTCTTTCAACCCTTGGTATCTGCCAACACGGCTGAGTTCATTACTAATTTCGTTGCTTTCGGCTCTTCCGAAAAACTGTGCTCTTACAAGATAAATTGGTACATGATCCAAGTCCTATGTGATTCGGGGAGAAAGCGGTTGTAAATCTAGTTTAAGCCTTCTGATCTAAGATTGAGACGAGGTCATTTCTGCTTCCTCTTCATCTCCCTTTTCTCCACATTATTTGACTTGTCCTCCTCCCTCCGGCGCTTGCCTTTGTCCTTTAAGTCTCTGCGAGCTTTAACCTTGTCCTCAAAACCACTGTCCAGCATTTTTAATGCTGCGACCCGTTTAGCCTTGTACACCTGTGACAAATATCACAGTATGCATAAAGCGTCAGACCAAAGCTTATGCTCATACTCAGCATACCCAAACACCATCAGCAAAAAAGATTGGTCTACCATCCCAACAGATGCACACATCCTCCACGCATGCGGTAAAGAAAGTGATTCCTTTCGGTGCCCATTGAAAGGGAGAATACAGATTGTGGGTAATATCTCACCGCCGTGATGCCCTTGAGAACCTCATCCTCCTTAGTTTCATGTTCTTCCAGCTTCTTACCGACGACCTTTTCGATCTCCTGAACAAGCTCCACATCGTACTGCCACACCAAAACACATGATTAGACTCTCAAAACGTAAGACATTGTGACATGGACCAACCTTCAGTCCAGTCTTAAATTTACCTGGGTTACCAGGCTGATTGCGCAACCACCTCTGCCGGCACGAGCTGTTCTTCCAACACGATGTACGTAATCACGAGCCATTCTGAAGTCAACAAAGGATCGTGGAAAAATGAATGAGTAAAAGCCACCATGAGGCTGAAGCCCTGTCTCATCCACACATTATCAACTAGTATTCGAACCTGATCACTCAAATCTCGTGAAAGGTCTGACTTGTATGGAGCAGTCCTCAGAGATTTTGACCACTATTTCACAATCTTTTAGGCAAAGCTCAATTTATCGAGAATAAACACGATAGAAGAGATATTGAGAGCAACTTCGCTGTGTGTAGGACACAGAACAAACAGCAGAATACCTTGGAATATCGTAGTTGATGACAAGATCAACCGTCGGTATGTCAAGACCTCTGCTGGCCACATCGGTAGCGATCAGTATAGGCACCTGGCCCGCTTTGAACCGACTCAATGACGCCAATCTTTGTTGTTGTGTTTTCATCGAGTGAAGTGCGACCGTGTCCACGTCCATCTCCTCCATTATGAGACTTAAGAGGTGACAAGTCCTACAGAGCAAGTGGTATACGTAAGTGCAAAATGCAAACAAAGAAAGAATTACGTTACTCATGTCCCAAAGACAAAATGACACAAAGACTCTCAGAGCACGAGCACGTTTCTAGTACATGCTGACTGTCTGCGATAACGTCGTGAAGACTCGTTCTAATTCTGTAACTCCAGGATGCAGAACTTGGATACTTCACAGCATATGAATGATTGTTCTACCTCTCTATTCGAGAAAAGAATTCTGGTTGCACATTGAACTCAACACTTTTGAGACTCGGTACGTCTCAGTTTGCAACAAAACATACTCTTCTTTAGCTCTATCGCAAGAACATGGTATTGTCATAATTGGATGGAACCGTCGGTGACCAGCTGGTAACTTCGACATTTCTTTTGGCATTTGACCTGAGTGCCCCTAATGGCCTCATTCTCGAGTGTATGCTGTGAGAAACAACGCCGTGCTATAGAAAATATCGATCACCTGCAGCTGGAGGCGAAAATGATGACAGATCGGACAGAGTCGTCTTCCAAATTGCTCAATAGGTGCAGCAGGTACACGTCCTTCACGTTCGCGGGCAGGAATATATACTCTTGCTTCAGTGTCTCCACAGTTTTGAAACCTTGGTAAGCTTCGTAGAAAAAAGCTTTATCGGATGAAAGCTCGTGTAAAGCCTTCAAGTTTCCAGTCATGGTTGCAGAGAATAAGAGAGTCTGTCTGCTGCTAGGCATGCTCTGCAAAATAGTTCTCATCTCTCCCTCAAATCCGACCTCCAGCAGTCGGTCTGCTTCATCTAGAACGAGGAACTGCACACGATGTTCAGTAAACTACAATGAACTATTCTGGTTTCGATGCAATCCACATAGGCATCTCACGCAGGAACGAGCGCAGCAGTCAAACACTTTACACTAAGATGAAAGTCAAGCCATTCTTTGCTTCAGAAAAAAATGGACACAGGAGCAAATTGAGCACTGGTTCCCAAAACGTGTTCCTGCAGATAAGTCCCACAAGCACCGAGGTCGAGCAATACTCACGACCTCGTCACGTGCACATTATATTGCAGAGATTCAGAACAGAAAACGTGCACCAAAGACGAACGCGACAGGAAGTTAGAAAGATACTGAGCCCCACCTTTGCTTTAGAAAAGTAGCCAGGCATGTCGGGATCGCTAATAAGATGGTCCTTCATTCGGCCCGGGGTCGCAATCACCACGTGAGGCCTGTTCATGAGCGCCTGAGCCTGGGCTGTCATCTCCATGCCGCCGACGACAACCGTGCATCGCAGACTCATGGCAGACCCGAGAGCATTAAACTGATCCGCGATCTGGAATGCTAGCTCTCGCGTAGGAGTCAGGACGAGAGCGTAAATACCGTAGGGATTCTCGGCCAATTTCTGCAGAATTGGCAGAGCAAAAGCGGCGGTTTTTCCACTACCCGTCTGCGCCATACCGAACACATCTTTCCCATTCAGAATCTGAGGAATGCATCCCTCCTGAACAGGAGTCGGTCGCGCCATTCCGAGCTCCTTGCACGTGACTTGCAACCACGTCGACAAACCCAAACTCTCGAAAGTCCGCAGCGTCTCGGGCCCTTCATCGTGATCGTCGGGCTCAGCATTCCCTGCGCTGGATTTCTCTCGCTTCTTCTTCTTCTTCGATCCGCCCGAGCTCACAGGCGTCGGCTTCGTCGCCTTGGACCTCGCAGGCACCAGGGCCAAGCTTCTAGCTGCCGTGGAGAATATCGAGGGTGCTCCATCCTCGACCTCCATCTCCTCCCGCGACCTGAATTGCCGAAATCCTCTGGCGCTGGCGGACTCGCTCGTGAATCGAGATCCTGTCCTGAGCCGGCCGAGCAGGGGCAGAGTGGCTGCTTCTCCCTCTCTAGGCGTTAGGTGCGTAAGAAGGCTAGCGTTTAGAGGGACGGCTAACCGTCCGTTAGGGCATGCCGTTCACACATAGAGAGGGCGGTCAACTGGGATTTGGGATTTGGGGTTTGGGGTTTAGATTCTTCTCGCAGTTCGACTTCCCCGAAGGAAACGCGCGCGATCTCCCGTTGCATCGGCGAAGATGCCCGGTCGCCCGGGACGGCCCTCGCCCGCCAAGAATATGTCGGACGATGGAGGAAGACGCAAGAGAAAGCAGGTGCGTGTTTTCTCGCTCTCTCGCTCTCGCCTGAAACCCGCACCTCATTTTTCTCGAAGTGGCTTGACCAACTTTCCCCGCGGCGATCTCCATTTTCTTGATTCTGAGTCGGGCGTTGAATTCTTCAAGTGTTTCGACACGACTCTGCCTGCTGAGCATGCTCGCCTTCGCGAGCAGCATTGAGAAACGGTTGAGGTTTCGAATGCATGTTGAAAGTCTTTTCTTCTCGTGCAGCGAGGAGGAGGAGCGGGAACGAAGCTTCCCCCGCTCCCCCCTCAAATCGAAGATGATGAAATTGAGATATCGGACGAGGATTTGGAGTTCGTGCAACAGCACAAGGACTATGCCGGTTTTATGGTCAACCTGGACTCGAAATCCATCTCCAGGTAGCTGACCGGCCTACTTCGTGGCTTCAAGGCTTGGAGTATAGTTATGAATTTGCTTCTGGAATTGGATTTGTTGTTGCATATGGAATTCCAATTTTTGATCCGAAGTGTTATGTTATTGATGCGACCGTTCGTATCGCATGTTTTCGTTGATTTTGCAATTTTTCGTCGATAGTGAGTTGCTTACTCAGTTTGTGACTCGGCAGATAAATTTTGAGATAGCCACCGCCACCAATTTGATCACTTCCTGCTTTTTCACATTTTTGTTAGGCAAGTACTGGGTTTAAAGCCAGACGAAGATGTGGAAGCTTATTACGAGAAAAGAGCATCGAGAGGAAATGAGGCCAGTACCACAAAGCCTGCGCCTGGAGAGCCCGTGGAAGATCTGCCAGTTAAGACACTTTCAGGCGACCTTCACTATCGAAAGGCTTCGTCAGGAGATGCAGGTAAGAAGTACTTCCTTCACGTATATTTAAACTTCCATGCCCGTATTTATATGGTAGCTGTCCCCAGGTTGTTCCATTTTTTCGACGAACTGTTACTCGGACGTTCGAATCTCTCCGTCCCAGATTTTTTATTAATTCTTTTATGTTTTTCAATTTTTCTAGAAATTACTAAAACAAAAAAACTTTTCGCACAACAATACGTTGAACTACTTCAACAAGTCTTCGAGTAAGATATCGATGTTGAGCTTGCAATACCATGAAAGAAATATCTCGATGCTCTTGTTGCTGTTTTTACACGTAACCTTCATAACGTCCATTGGCCGGATGCAGTGTTCACAGTGTACTTTGAAGGCAAATGTTCAATGTGTGTCAAATATTTGTGGCTAGAAATGTCGAGTTTTGCGACTGCAGTAGGTCTTGTTACTTCAGCGATGTTCTTCTCTCTTCCTTCTCCTTTTTCTCTCCTCTTACACCCGCACTAAGCGCCTACAGGACAGGAGGTGCATCACTCATCGCCGATCGCAAGGATCGAGTGCTTTCCTGATTTTGTTGAAGGATACACAATTAAGACTGTTGTTTCTGATTTCAGTAAACTGTCAATCTTATATGCCATTTCCACTCAGGCAAGTCTTTTAAGGTATAGGCAGTCTTTTATATTCTGTCGTGCTAGAAAGTGCCTCGTCATCTACTTGAGAGTTTGGAGTGATTCTGTTTTGTCCTTTTGATCAAAGTTTTCTGGTCTGTCTGCCACTCTACGAACACTGGATGGTAATTACTGTTCACCACGTCAGTGTACGATGGTAGGTCTCTGTTGCCAATGTGTATCCTCTCTTTAATGGTCTTTTACAGTTCCAAGTGTCAGGAAGAACGTACACCTTAACTTTAATGCACTGTGTTTTTCTTCAGTCGACGCAACTTCCATTAGTCTTGAGGATCGCAGGACTCTTGTACGAAAAGGAGTTACAATACATACAGATGATGTTCCGGCGAAGGAAGCTACGGAGTCCGCAGAACAGGTCACCGAAGGCAAAGAGAAGAAGAAGTCAAAGTTGGAACGAAGGAAGGAACTCAAGGCTTTGAAGAGGAAGGAAAGGGAGGAAAAAAAACTAGCTGAAAGACCTGAAAGAGAATCAAAATTTGCATCCATAGCTGAGCAAGACATGGTACGCAACAACATAAAGCGTAGCTGATTTGAGAATTTACGTTTAGATCAACTTAAACCAATCGCAATCTTGGTCTGCTGAAGGAAAGGCCCAATTGTACCTGAGGAAAGTAGTTTCATTAATCGTGGTACATCGACTAAGTGTTACTTGTTTGATATCAATGAGCCCAAAAGTGCAACGATGTTTCTGAAAGTGCAATTCTACGGCTGTTCTACAAATGTAGGAGGAGTTGGAAGAGTTCGTAGATACCCAGCAGAGGAGGTCGGACATGAGAGCCAGGATGGCGGAGATCGGGACATCATTACTTGCAGATCCTGATAATAATCTTGGAAGTTTGAAAGAACTTCAAGAAATGTGCCTTGATCGTGATGAGAGCACCTCACAGTTGGCTATGCTGTCTTCGATGACTGTCTTCAAAGATCTAATTCCTGGGTATTTCATCCTGCCGATTACGCATACTCTGACAAAGAATCTTCTTTGATATATACTAATCTATCTAAGTAGCTCGTCATGCCCGTCTGCATCCTCTGTCTAGTGGAAAGTTCTGCGCCGACAACAAAATCGTTACCGTCAGATAGATGTTGATTTAAGGAATAATAAATTTGAAGGGATTGCATTATCGTGTGAGGACTCATGAATAATTTATCAATACTCTTTCTTCACCTTGTCGTGTTTGCAATGCCTCATACTAAGATGGTTATACTTTGGGACAATCTACAGCTTAGTATTTACATGGATTATTTACATATACTCTTTCATAGGGCTTGTACTGTCTTCCTATTGGTTTTTTACGGCACATGGAACATTCTCACGAGTTTTTCTTCACGTAGATCAACCGTTAGCAGATTTGATCAATACTGCGTCCATAGTAACCCGGAGTGCTATAGCCGTAATTAAGTATATGTGAACTTGCGTTTCATTCTGACCTCTCTATTCGTTTGCTTTGCTTTGCTTTTTATTGCGTTTGCTTAATGGTTTACTCAAAGTATTCCACTGTATTAAGGCATGGTGCGATTTGTACAGATATCGCATTAGACCACCTACAGAGAAAGAGTTGGACATGATTGTCTCTAAAGAAGTGAAAAGAGTTCGGGATTTCGAATCAGCCCTCCTTCGACATTATCAGGTATCAGTCTTCGTGCAGATACCTGCTTTCCTACGTGGCATACTTCTTAGGAGATTGTTTATGTTCATTTCTTTTGCATGTTGCTTCCTTTAGTTCGAAGATATCGTTTCTGCACCGTAATAACTCGGGCTACTGTGTTTGCAAGCAGGCATATGTTCAGTTTCTTGTCAAGTCTGCAAAGTCCAAGAGCAAGCGGTTGACTGCTCTTAGATGCATTTGCACACTTCTGGAAGCCGTTCCTCATTTCAACTACAGAGACAGCCTGCTCAAAACGATTGTTCCTCGGTTGATGGCATCAGACGATGAAATCTGGTACGTGGCAGCTTAACTTCAGGAATCGAATGAGTGTTAGGAAGTCATCGTTTTCTGGGTGTACCACCTTCGAGGGAAATATGGGTTTAAATAAGCACAACAGCTGACTTACCTTTGCCCTTGCAGCAAGATGAGCGCCAACGCCATCACTTCTCTATTCAACAATTTTGGCAAGCACAGTGGAGAGGCCACAGTCGAAGCAGTACAGCTGATTGCCGATCTGGTGAAACTCCGCAATTGCCAACTCCGCCCTGAAGCTGTGCAGGTAAATCACTATTAGCTGAGTCATCTGTGCAGCCAACGGAAGCTAATGCAGCTTGCTGCGAGTTCGCCGTTCTTGAGTTTTGCAAAAACACGTGGCGCTTAGTAATACTGCCACTTATTCCCAGCTACCTCGATACCGTGATATAACAGTGGTCGTATAACAGTTCCCTTCCTCTATTCTCGCTAAGCCTGTTCTGGTATTCATCACGGGACAAATGATTGGAGATTCAGACAATAGGCACCAGTGTTAGTTCTTCTGACGTGCTCATTCTGGCCGCCTATCATAAGCTACTCTGTTGTGTCTTGATTTCTGCACCGATGAATATGGTCGATCCCGATTGATAGCATTGCGCAGTGGAGTGATCGACCCAAGATGGTGGATCATTTGAGAAATTAATCAGAGATCCTATTCGATGCCTTGTTTTTTGTCATTTGAGTCGATTTTCATCAACCAGTTAATGTTGAAAACATGAGGGGTCTTATCTAACAGCGTTCATATTGTAGAGAGTCAAGCTTTAGACTAAAGAGATTCCGCTCTCGTTTGTGCGTCTCTCTGACTCTTCAGCCTTGGTGTAAGTGCAGGTGTTTCTCGCGCTGTCTTTTGATGAGGACCTTGTGAGGTCATCGACACTGGCAGCGGCGGGGCAACCCACCTCGAAAGTAAATGAGAAGAAGTCCAAGAGGGAGGAGAAGAAAGAGAAAAAGGCGAAGAAGCGTGAACTTGCAGCTAAACTGAGGAAGGAGGTAAATTCGAAGTCGCCACTTGAGCACGAAGCACTCGCTCTTGCGAACCGAAGTACCAAGTACTGATGAGACGGGCCAGAACATTGCTGTCTTACTTCCAACATTTCGAAGAGGAATTTAGTTCAGTCAGTCATTGATCTTCGGACCTTGTCTCGTGAACAGGTAAAATCAGACTTCAAGGAGGCAGCGGTGTTGCCCGAAGTACGCGAATACAGGAAACAGCAGACTCTGACACTTTCATCAGTCTTTGAGACATACTTCCGCGTTCTGAAAACCAGTTTGATGCCTCGTGTACAAAGGTACAGTAGATCATATTTCCTGGAGTCCGGTGAAATGACTATATTTTCTCCTGTAGAATGTTCGAGAAAAATGTGCTCACTTCTGACTTCTCACAGATCGTACACCAGGAGAATTGTCTGTGACCTTTTGCTGTGCATTTGGTTGTCTAATGTACAATTTTATCCCGTGAGACAGTACAGTAATTACATGTTCTAGTTAATGAACAAATAGTACTGTAATCAGGTCCTTGTTCATTACATCTCCTAATGAGTTTTCTTTTGGAATCAGAGAACTCACTGAAGATGAAGAGAAGGCTGGTGTGAAACTGCTGGGTCCCAGACCCTTGCTGGGAGCAAGCCTGGAGGGATTGGCAAAGTATGCTCACCTGATCAATGTAGACTTCATGGGTGATCTACTAGACGTTCTGCGGGCCCTTGCCAGCGGTGGAAAAGTGTCGGAGGATGAAGAATTTTCGGAGGGAACTACAAGTGTCTGGGAGAGGCTGCAATGTTGTATCATCGCTTTCAAGATTGTCAAAAACAATATGGATGCCCTCAATATCGATTTGCGAGAGTTTTACGTCCGATTCTACAATCTGCTCTTCGAAGCGATTTTTGTGAGGTAGTTTTCTAGCCCTTGACCGAAGAAATGTATCGCTGCAGAAGCCTTGCTTGTGGATATTGTGGGGAGCTCACCCGTCGAGTTTTTGTCTTTTTACAGAGAAGAGGAAAAGAGCGGAGAGATACTGGCCCAAGCATTGCATGCTATGCTATGGGACGGCCGACACACTGACATGCAGCGTGCTGCTGCTTTTGTGAAAAGACTTTCGACTCTTGCATTGCACTTGGAGTCGGCCGAAGCCATGGCTGGTATGGAGATTATCCGGCCACATTCATTTCTGAATATAATATCAATATCTTTGAATCTCGTCCGCTCCTTCGTTCTACAAGTTAAGTCCATCTCGTCACACTGGAGTTACTCGTCTGGTGTAGATCTGTCTTCATCTTTCTTGCAGTGAGTCTCGGCCGATCTAGAAATGCTCAGTCATCATCTCTTCTCTTTTGGACCATTTTTGTGCAGCCTTGGTGACAGTACGCCATCTTCTCGTACGCTACAAGAAATGCCGAAACATTTTGGAAAACGATGGAGGGGGTACTGTAGGTGGCGGCATTTCTGTAAGTCAGCATTTTTCACTCTAACTGCTTGATGTGCAACAGAAAGACTGATGTTCATACATCTGGTAGAATTCTTTATCTAGCCTTCTCATGACAAAGTCCTCGTCCGTCGGATTGCTGCGCAGACATATAGCCCTGAAGGTGATGATCCAGACCTAAGTGGAGCTCTATCCACGATATTGTGGGAGTCGAGCTTACTAGCCGAGCATTGCAATCCCCATATCGCGACCATTGCCTCCACGATTTTGACCATGAATAATTCAAATTCATTAGTTTTACCAACTCTAACACCCTCTGATGCCATTAGAGATTACCGCTCAGTACTGACCAGAGTTGAGGACGGCTATTCAAAGCCAAAGAGGAAAAAGGCTCGACGGTCTTGCAAACAGCCTCTTTCAGATTTCATGAGCAGTCTGCAGGAAAAATACGATTTCACCGAAACAGCTGAAGTACCTCAGGATCTAGTAAAACCTGTGGAGAAATTTTTGACCAGTCATTTCAAAGTAATGAAAGCATTATATTCTTGACCTGCAAGAAGAATCTGGCATGGGTCTTTTCCAAAGTTTCGAACAATCCCCTGTCCACGTTCGCTGAAGTCTCTTATCGGACCATGATTTTGCACTAGCGTCTATCTCTGCTACCGCCGTCAACAGACGCTTTTTGCCGAATGGACCTTGAAGAACACACTCAATAACACACCTTTCTGGCACTTCGGAGGCGTCGTAGATTTATTTCAAGCACCAAATGCGTTTGTGACTTGATGGCACGATACATGGCCTCTACTGCTTTCGGGGTCAGCCAGCCTCGTGTTTGGGATTAGTGTCTTCTCTCGGCCACGGCTTCCACAAAGGTCCGTTTCACACCAAATGTCTTGGCAGCCGAATTGGTGTCGTTTGTGCACAGCGCAAGCGGAGGTTTCCAGCTACGAGAGTTGCGTCGGCCTTGTAGTGCGCGGCGGAGGTAGACATATCGAAGTGGCCGACCTCGAGACATGGCCACCGGGTATTCGATGGACGTGTCTCAAATCTTATCTACATGTCGAAGGAGCTTCGATCTCTCTCCAGAAGCCCTGCAACCAGCGAGAATATGCAGTGGCTCACGTGACCACAAGCACCGAGTACAAAAAAACGAATGATCAAAGCCGACTTTCTTCAGCGCAGCGCGCATTGATTCTATTCGCCAGCTCTCATGGCTCTGGTACGAACCCCAATTGTGCCTTCCGCGCTCTTCGTCGGCACAAAGCATCCGGGTTGCACTCCGCGCGCACCGCGACGAGCGCGTCTTTGCGTTCGTTCCGCCGGCAACATCAAAACAAACAACATCAAGGTATCGAAATGTGTGCGGAGATTGACTGTCGACGATCCAGAAGGCTCAACAATCTGCAAGATTTCTCGGTGCAACTCGGGAGGCAAATCACTGCGCATGCGCAGAATCGTCTGCAGCCAAACCGTCTTGTCAATTTTGAATTTGAATCGCGGCGTTGTTCTTTCTGAAGCGCTTCCCAGAATGACGCGCGACGTTGGAGCAGGTGGTGGTCAATGGCGCCGGCAGGGAGCTCGGGAGGGCAGCCATCGCGGCCATCCACAAGGCCCGAGGCATGGAGGTGGCCGGAGCTGTCGATGTCCAATTCGTTGGGCGCGACGCCGGGGAGGTAGTCCTCGCGCTCTTTTCGGTCTTTCATTTCGTGCGCAGTTGGGCTTCGGCCGAGTTGCGACTGACAGTGCCTCTTTCGGCGCAGATAGCCGGGTTGGACGAGGCGCTGGAGCTGCCCATCGTCAATGACCTCGTCATGGTGTTGGGATCACTCTCCCAGGTAACTCCAACGCTGCCTGCTGAATTCCGCCCTCCTCCATTTTCTCATTCGTATAGATTGAGATTGCGTCTTTGAGAATTTTCAAGCTGTACAAGTTCAGCTCCCGAGTCCAGAATGATGTTCCGCGTGGCTGCTACAAGTCCAGAATACAACTTCGGGAGTTATGGTGGACTTCAACACCGAGTCGAAAGTGGTATACGACAACGTTCGACAGGTCAGATGGAGTCCGGCATTTGGCTTCTGCAGTTGCGATTTCCGGCTTTAGGCTGCAATGCGCAACAGTTGCAGTACTGAATTGCTTCTGAACCTCACCCGTCTCCCATTTCCCTATCATTTTGCAGGCCACGGCCTTCGGCCTGAAAAGCGTCGTATGCGGTGCCGCTTTGGAGCCAGAAGATTTAGACGCCTTGTCGACGTTTTGTGAAAAATCAAGCATGGTGAGGTCTGCGATTATTTGGATGTAGAAAGTGTCCCAGCTCAGATCCATCTCATTCTTTCAAGTTCATCATTTTTAGTTCAAAACCATTAGATATCTCCACTGAGGAGATATCTAATGGTTTTGAAGACGATGAATGAGACGAAGAGATCTTAATCGTAATCGAATTTCGGCTATCATACATTAGCAGATTGGCAGAGAGAGCACGTGCGACAGTCAGTCGGAATCTCGCTCACAGTTACTGCTTGCCCCGCCTCTTACCTTGACAGGGCTGTATTGTTGCGCCCACACTTTCCATCGGGAGAATTCTTCTACAGCAAGCTGCTGTCGCTGCTGCGTTTAATTATGGCTATGCGGAGATCATAGAGTCGCAGCCGGGCTCCAAGGTGCTCTATATTCTCTATTAATTGCGTAGCCCTTGCTTCTGTCTTCTCTTGAAGACAGACGCCTAACCTTTGCGCGCTAATCAGCACTCTTGAAGCAATAATCAGGCCGTGAAATTTGAGTTTTCGTTCTCTTTCAGGTGTACCCTTCGTCGGAAGCTCAAGAGCTCGCCCTGAACCTTTCGGGACTCGGTAGAATCTACAACGACGGAGATCTCTCACAGCAACACGTGGTCAGTACAGCATCCGTGCATGCCAACCATCGTCGATGTGCTCCCGGGTCCAATTTTCGCTCCACATCAGTCTCTAACCCTCACGCATAACCGCATGCATGTACGCCTCGAAGGCCAGGGGAGCCGTCGTAGGAGATGGAGTTCGCGTCCACAGCCTGTCCACGCCGAGCGGCACGTCGAGCCTGGAGATTCGCCTCTCAAGTCCGTGGGAGGTGACTACGCCTTGCTCAGCCTCAATCAAATCTCTCGCTGCCTTCGCTAGCTAGCAAGATCGGGCCCAGCTCAGACCAACAGCATCGCCTGTCATTGCTTTCAGGTGCTCTCGTACAAGCACGACATTTCCGACGTGCGAGCCCTAATGCCAGGACTTCTTCTGGCCATTCGACGGGTGGTCCGTCTGAAGGTAAGCTCGTCCCCATGCTCCGCTCGCAATTTATATCGAAGGGTCGACGCTGCCATCGCCAGATGCGCTTCATGTGCCATTCTTCCTGTGCAGAATTTGGTTTACGGCTTGGAGAAAATTCTGTAACTCTGGAGATAGAGACACTGCCTGCCCGCTGCCCGCTGCCCGCTGCCGTGGAATGCCATCAAGGCACTGCTGGGTTCGTGACGGGCGACAAGACGGCAGCACCGAGATCTCTCGAACTTCGCGAACGTTGTCGTGGCTTGTCGTGCGCAGGGAGCAGCGGAGGGCCTCCGTGCGACCAAGTTGTCTCTTCTTCTTTAAGTTCTTTGCATTCGCGGGTCGGGTTCTTGTTTGGTGGATGGATCTGGAGTGCACGCAACCGCGGAAGATCATCCTACGGAATCAAATCTGTTACTTGTCACTCGTAGATCATTTTGAAACTGATTTTGACTCGACGTGTGGGTCACATTCTAATTTTATTAACGAGGCCCTTATCTTCGAGATTTTATCCCACGCGAGGTTTCATGAGGTACCTATTAATTACCATGTACGATGATCCATCGGGTCTTTTAAAACATGTGAGTATAGTCGGAGGAAACCCCGACGTTTCAACAATAATATTGAATATTTTGAAATATAAATCATTTTCTTGTGTATATTTTGAAAAAAAAATATGTAAAAAAGTCTTGTTACTATGAGTCATGTGAACTGTATATATATGTGGAAATAAAGTAACATCTGTTAAGTATTCTTTGACTAGGGATTTGAATAGTTTATCTATAGTGATGTATTTTCTTGAACTAGGTTTTGTAATTAATGAAACGAAGTCTGTAAAATAAAGATTTTAGTTGTCCAATCCCATTTTTCTTATGATTGGTAACAAATTAATCACATTAGAATGCAAAAAACTGTAGATGTGATAATAAGGTACTTGAACCTTATTATCACATCTTAAACTGATTAGATGTATAATAGTCAAGTGGTGTGTTTGGTAGCGCAAGAATAGAATAAATGTTTATAATTAATCAAAGTTTTCTTGGAATCGATTACCGAATGTTTAATTATATTCATAAGTCAATTTTTCCTGTATGTTTGGTTATGATCTGTTTCAATAATTGATTCATATTCTTAGCTTGGTAATCTTTCAGATTTGAAACAATATTCTAACTCATTCAGTACATATGACACAGATTCAGAAAGTGACGAGTTTGTAGAAAGATTACGAAAATGTTTATGAATCCATACAATTTTTTTCCTCGCACATTATACAATCAAAATGTTCACATCATTAACTATCAAGCACATTAAGAATACATGTCAAAAATGTAAGTACTGTATAAATCGATATACACACTAAAAGACAAAAACCATGTTATGAAAATAGAATATTCATATTGTATTTGTTGTGCTAAAAATGCGTGCAATCTTGTTAACATATATATTTATGAATTTTAGGTATGAAACTATTGAATAAGATATGTGTTTGAAGAAATCTTGATTTTATTACAGATTGAGAGTTGATCAAACATGAACTAATATATTTCAAATTTGAGATTAAATGTATTTCAAAATTGTTACCTTGCACGTTCTCAACCTGATTTAGGAACCAGGGTCTTGCTTTGAATTTCAAAACTTTACCCATATCCATTGTATCCACCCATGGCAACTTTTCCATACCTATTATACGCCCATTACCCATGAGTCCATACCTAACTCATACTCATGAATTAGTCGTCCATATCTATGAGATCATCACCAAAATGAACTTACTTAAGACCACTTGAAGTGTTTATAGAAATATAAAGCGCCTATGATTTATTTTAAAAAGTTACATACAAATGTCACGATTAGAAATCAAGAACATGAGGTTGTTTATTGTTCAAGGCTTTAGTCGATTGCGCTTATTGGTCAAGATGTTACCGGCGTCCGAGAAGTTGTTCTTGGACATGGCATTAAATGTCAGTATGCACATGATGGATCACGCGACTCGCGTTAGTATCGGGAATAGGTACATGTCCTTGCTCCTCCAACCCAATAAAATGTGAAATTCACAGCTAGCATCATCATCAACGCATTGCCTCATCTCTCCATCGGTGACATTGTGCTTCATCAACGCTTCATACTCGTGGTTGACTATTGCGTTGAGGGTAGTGGCGACGACGTCAACATGAATACCTTTAGTAAGAGGGATGTTGTTTTTCTCATCGTTATCATTGAACATCTGATCGTACATCAAAACCGACGAACGCAATTTCTTCCTTACCAATGATCAAGCAGGCAAAACTTCTTATTCTCTGTCGTTCAAGGGAGTGTATTTGATCATCACATCCTTAAGCTTATTCTTGGCATGTTTGATCTCGTTGCATTCAGCACCAAGACGAACAACACGAGACTTCATGATTGCATCTAGCAACCACGCCATGATGTGGATATCATCAAGGACAAACTTGCTCTAGAAGAGTGGCAGCATGATGCCCTTGATTGCCTCGATCGACTCGAAGTCTTTGATCGTCGTCACGTTGCCAACCTCGTCCATCACATCGTTCAGAACCGGCCAAAGGTGACACACAATCACATGGCGCCACCATACGACCTTGTGAAGAGTCAAATGCTTGAACTTCTCGAATTCTAGCGTCGCTTGCTGAAAGGATACAAGGAAAGCGATAAGTCTCTTGAGTAGCTTCTGAAAAATGTCATTGAGCTTGCTCAGCTTGTCCTTCATTTGCAGTAGCCGAACGAGCTCGTCGTACATTTCCTCAATGCTTAGAAGGCAGCGGAACAGCGAGATCCATCGAGTTGCGTTCTCTTACTTGAGTGTCTTCATGAGCTAGCTCTACAGGTTCGCACACTTGCAATACTCAACCAAATTTTTGCACGCGTCGATCAGCATGAACAACGGCAGCATGTGTTGGAAGTCCTTGTAACGGTAGAACGATTTGCTCCTGATCCCATCCTTCACCCTGGTCGACTAGTTTAGTACAGTCGTCAGCACGGTTGCCAACTTGTGATCGAGGTATGCAAGCCAGAAGAAATCCAACGGGATGCCATTAGCGTCATAGCAATTCAAATCGCTATCCGAGATCACGATGATCTGATGGTACATGTTTGTCATTACCTTGAACACAGCTAGACCGTTATTAAACTCCTCCAAGACCATCTCCGTTGTGTGGCTAGCATGGCCAATAGGTTTTACATGCAAGATGCGGACGTGCGGATTAAAAATCTCATCAATGTAATGAATGGTGATGAACATGTACGAGTTCTTCTTGATCGCGTCCGTCCAGAAGTCAAGAGTACATGTCACGTTCAAACATGGGTCAAAGTGCTTTTTGTGAACAAGGGTGAGTTTCTCACGGCCTTTCCCAGCACGTGAATAGACGTTATAGCTAATCGTCGTCGGGTTGGCTAGCAGCTTGTCAATAGTGACTCAACTAGTGCTGCTCGATGCGATGTCAAATGGTATCTGGATGAGCACCTTGATGTCCAATCCACTCAGAGATTCAAACAAGCTCATGTTGGTCGCGTAGTAGTCTATCCCCGCTGTCGTCATCATCTACTTTTCTTGCTTTGTGACGAAGTCCTTCTTAAAGATCACCTTCGCAAAGGCTATCTCTAAGGAAAAAACTACACATATGTGCTTTGAGTTCGTAGCCGTGCCGATATTGGTTTTGAAGCATTAAAATTTGTTGCATGACTTGCAAGCAACATAATGTAGCTTTACGCTGCGGCGATCGTAGACGGTGCCGAAGGCTTGCCAAACATCCGACCTTTTGCCTAGCCCATTTTGGTAAATCACATACTCTTCCCAAACATCCGACCTTTTGCCTAGTCCATTTTGGCAAATCACATACTCTTCCCATTACTCTTCAGGTCATTTTCAATTTGCTGAACTAACGTCATGGCCGGCATCAGCATTGAATCATATGAACACATAACATGCACAAAATCACATTCAAAGTAGAGCATTATAAGGTTATGCTAGTGAATCAAACAAGGTTTGTAAGTTTAAATTACGTGCAAAAGTATAGTTTAAAATCTATATCAGAAAGTCACGAACTCATGTAAACATCAAACTCAGCATTGTATCATTTTCAGATTCTGAATTAAAATGAACGCACAATTACAACCGTTGAACATAAGACTTGAGTGAGCAATAATTTAACATATACTTAATCACATTTAAAGTATAGCATTATAAGGTTATGCTAATGAATCAAACATAGATTCTAAGTTTGAAAAACGTACAGAAGTGCAATTTGAAATATTTTAAAGAAGTGACAAACTCATGAGAACATCACAGTCAACGTAAAACAATTATCCACCTACTTTATCAACATTCATATCATCACACTATGAATAAAATTCAGATATCGGACAACTAGAACTGTCTACTTCAATGCAATGATGAAGGCAACTACTTTGTACCTTTACTGACTCTCATTAAAAAAAAGCAAGGATTGAATTGTAATTCAAGATTTGAACTTTTTTGACAATGTTCAAACGAGGTGCTGTTTAATTATAAAGAATGAAGAAAGAAGTTCATACATCATTACATCCTCGTTGTGGCCAAGCTTGGTTGTATTGCATTTATTGCACTTCGTATGTTTAGCCTAATTTATGTTTTTACACGTGGAAAACAAAAGAGAGTGAATTAAAAATCCATCAGATAGATTCTCCAACAAGTGACTAAAAAATTGTCAAAACATCCTAACATCTGCATAGAAGTGTGGCATCATAAGATGGAACAAGAGAAGTACAAATCATGTGACAAGAATTTTGTCATTATAATTTTAGAAAGAAACTTTGGGCAATATAAAGTTTCATTTCAAGCTGGAAAATTGTATTTAATCAACAATATGATAAAAACATGAACATGTGATAAACTGGCACTCAGTACATACTGTCATTATACGCAAATGAGTTCTTCAAACGCGTGACATGATCATTGCTCAAACAGAATGTCTCATGATTTTTAGGTGGAGCCTATCGATTGACTTCATTTGTTCGGCCCGTCCTAAAATTTGTTGCGTATGGAGATCTTGAACTTGTAATTTGTCATCTCGAGTACACAAAAACCTATTTCGGCGATCTCAACCTTCGGATCTCGAAGTATAGAACAAGCAATTTTATTCTCCTTGAAAATGTTTTTAAGCACTTCAAAAAGACTTGAGTATGAGTGGGATAGTCTTGGAGACAAGGGTGCAATATGCAACGGAATCTTCAAATCATAATATCTTGTCTTGATTGAAACAACATATATATGATTGGAGCCCGTGCAATTCCACAGCTTGCCAATACGCGGAAAACAAAACCTGGGATCCTGACATTCTAGCTATTTTCATACAAGGCAAGCATGACTACGGCAAAAACTCACATCTACGCATGAGATCACTTACCTCAAAAAGCAAAGGAGCATAACGTATAAATTAATGACATTGTTACCTTCCCGATAAATGCTAGCATGTTCATGCATGGAATCAAAATTGGTCAATTTTCAGCTTATGAATCCTTCACCAACAACAGAAGAAGCTCTAACATGAACATCATATTGACTTTCAAACAAAAAAAACAAACTCATGCATTATAGAATCATA